ACAGATTTTAACTTACCAGCTTGGCATTCCGCCCTGTGGTAGATTACCCGCATTGATCTTGGGTCTCTAGTTTATCGCTCAGATGATTTCTTTTCTAGTCACTATTTCACTTTGTTTTCTAATCCTTGGATCTCAACCGCCTTTCGTCCACAATGGGTTCTTCCTGGATTGCTAACACATTTTTGTCCCGCCTACAGGCTTTTACGGATAAACTTCTCGCTTTGATCAGAACAAAGAGAAAAAAGGCAAGTGACCCTTAATGGTATTTCAGGCAACAACAAATCACAGATATATTGTCAGTGCCACTAAATATGCTATAACAAATAGTCCAGGTGTGCAAATTATTAGAGTAAACTTGTTGGTATGTAATTCTAATCCTATTCTTCTTCAGAATGATTACAAAGTACACATTTCTCAGTCAGGGCATTTTTGTTGTTGCTGTTGTTGTTGTGCAAAGCAGAAATCTGGTTGGGCTAGTTTGAGCAAGAGGAATACAGGGATCTGACAGTCTTCAAGAACAGAGATTCTGAATCATAAATGGGGACTGGCAAACTTTTTCTTTAAAGGAACAGAGAGTCACTCTATTAGGCTTTGCAGTTTAGATTTCTTTTTTTTTTTTTTTGGTCACTGTATTATCGGTTGAAAAGTAATGTAAAAGTACAACTTTATTTAGAAAAGAGAATATGCCACATTTGACATACTTTCTGGAGTTTGAAAGCCCTAAAAGTGGACTAATTGAAACTCATGTCTCTCATCCTTCAAAAATCTGCCTTTTTGCTTATCTCCCTACTGGATAAATCACTTCATCTTCTTTAGGTCTTATGACAAAACATGGCTTTGGAAAACTGAGTTTTCAAACTTTCTTTTGTTGACAGCAGTTGTGGCCTGGCCTTGCTAGGAGTCAAGTCTCACCACTTACCAACAGGCAGTGAACAAGGCTTTGAGGAACCACCCCTGCAATCCTCTGAATCAGAGCAATGGATTCCAGGAAAGTGTTTGGAATTAGGCCTCCGGGTCCTTGCTGCAGTCCTTCAAACCTGTCTTCCCAGCAGTTTCCCCTTAAACTCTTCAGATCCTTTCTCAAGCAAAATTGACACTGTCCTCAAGTTGATTATTTTCACCCTGTACCCCCATCTGGCACAGCAGAAATTCTACTAATCTTTATTTTCACGATCATGATCATCCTGTTGTTTGTCGATTTGGGCAGGTTACATTTGGTAGCCTGCCAGGTTGTCCAAATTTGTGGCCGCAGGCTTCCGGGAGCTGGGTTTTATAGTCTCTGGGTCTTGGCCGTTGATGGGATTACATGGCTCCGGGGAACAGTTGGTGAGTGTGACCCCTGCCTACTGGAAGATGGAGGATCTGAGTGGAGGATGCTCAGCCCCGATCCGAGCAAGCTTGGAGATCTCAGCCCTGGGACCCACATGCCTGTGTTCCTCTGCTGGTTCCTTCATGCGTGTGGAGAGTGGTCTTTATTGTATTTAAATCAATTTTGGGGTGAAGGGATTATATCCTGTAGTGCTCAAGAACCACTTCGGGGGTCACTTCTGGTAGTAAACTGGGGAACCACTTGTTGCTGGACATGAAACCTGTGTGTCCCCCATGTAAAACATATGTTTGGTCCTTCGAAATAACTCTCCTGCCCAATCCTACCCATTTTTTAATGCCTTTTCTGAATAGCCATCCTTCCTTTTTCTCTCCTTTTTGCTTAATATCCACCCAATACCCTTTGGTACAGGGGTGCTTGCTGGGTTGCTAGGTCTGTGCCTAAAAAGGCATATTTCTATGCTTTAAAAAATGCAGACAACGGAGGCTCTGCTGATAAGAGAAATAATTTAACTTTTCATCCAGTCTGGTGCTTTTCAGAGAATAGGGGCCACACTCATTCAGTTCAGCCAAAACTTCATAGTACCATGATCCCAAATTGAAGAAAATTTTGACATTTATAAGGACTTGCGAGGATTCAGGAAAAAGGGTATCTACCACTTAAGAAAACTATTCATTTCCAGCCAAATTAAAGTATACTTTTTTGGTAGAGCGATATTAACTAAAGGAAAGTATTTTTTAAATTGTTGGAAAATAAGAAAAAAAATAAAGTTCAATTAGGATGGTATCTTTTCCCATGACGATAAAAAGGACTAATTACTACAGTAATAACAGGAAAGATTATAAAATTGAAATATTCAAAATTCTCCTTCAAAATGTTCCAACATGATTAGAGCTGGTGCACAAAATTTGCCAGAGTCGAGACTACATGATCTTAGTTTCTTCTATTAATTAACAGTACTAGAAAAATCTGCCAAACTCCCCTGCTGAAAGGGAGAGTAAATACAGTACAGCGGGGAAAACTGGTTCATTTGTGCACGAAGCTGTGAGAGGCTTATGCTTCTGTCAAACGGAAAACGCTTGCTAAAGAACTGTCCCTAAACTATTCGCAACCACATAAAACCTCTTTTTTTTTTTTTTAAAAAAGTTCACAGCATCCTCCGAGGGGACCACGCTGGAATGCACAGCAGGTCTGGAAAAGGCAGAGTCGGCTCCACTGTAAATATTAGGCGCACCAAGGCAAAGACATTGGGTGGTGCAGAGGGTGGGGTCCAGATTTTTAGAGTCCGTAGGATTCTTATTTCACTTGGGACGTTTCCCCCCATGCTAAGTTACAGTCTTGCTAAGCAAAATAGAACCTCGATTGCACACTCATCTGGGTTTCTGATTTTCAGCATCTACAGAGGAAGAGGGATGAAAGGAACCACCTTTCTGCAGAGTATCACCTCAAGGGCCCCCTACAGCCGCACCCAGGGGCATCAGGATTGGTCCAGCCACAGGGCAGGGACACGGGTGTATCTGGATGGAAAAGCACCAAACTGCTCAAGTTTGGACTTTGGAATAGCGCCTGGGCTTCCTCCCTGCCCCCCCTGTCCACTGTCCCCTCTTCCTCCCTCCTCCACTGTCCACCCCCCTCCGGTCCTTCCCTCCAGCCCCCTCTCACCCCTCCCTCCTCTCCTCTTACCCTTCCCTCTCCCCTCCTTCACCTGCTGCCCTTCCTCTGTCCTCCCTCCGTCCTCTCCTCTTCTCTCCTCCCCCCTCCTCTCCCCTTTTCCTCTCTTCTCCCCCTTCCCTCCTAATTCATCCCTTCCCTCTCCCCTCCTTCACCTTCTGCTCTTCCTCCTCTCTTCTCTCCTTCCCTCTCCTCTCCTTTCCTCTTCTCTCCTTTCTCCTTCTCCTCCCTCCCCCTCCACTTGCTCCCCTTTTCCTCTCCCAGCCTCAACTCTTCCTCTCCTCTCCCTCCCCTCCTCTCCCCCCTCCTCTCCTCTCATCATTCCTTCTCCCCTCCTTTACCTTCTGTCCTTCTCCCCTCCCCTCCCCTCTCCTCTCCTCTTCCCTCCTCCCTCCCCCTGCTCCCCATCTCCTCCCTCCTCCCCTCCCTCCCCTCTCCCCCTCCCTCCTCCCACCTCCTCTCCCAGTCCCCCCTCTGCTTCTCTTCCCTCCCCCTGTCCTTCCCCCCTCCCCTCCCCTCCCCTCCCCTCCTCCCCCCTTTTCCCCCTCCCCTCCCCAGCCCTGCTGTCCTCTTTCCCTTCCTTTTCTCTGCCTCCTTTCCCTCCTCCCTCCTCCCTGCTCCCCATCTCCCCTCCCTCCCCTCCTCTCCCCTCCCCTCCTCTCCCCTCCCCTCCTCCCCCCCTTTTCCCCCTCCCCTCCCCAGCCCTGCTGTCCTCTTTCCCTTCCTTTCCTCTGCCTCCTTTCCCTCCTCCCTCCTCCCTGCTCCCCATCTCCCCTCCCTCCCCTCCTCTCCCCTCCCCTCCTCTCCCCTCCCCTCCTCTCCCCTCCCCTCCCCTCCCTCCCCTCCCCTCCCCTCCCCTCCTCCCCCCCTTTCCCCCCTCCCCTCCCCAGCCCTGCTGTCCTCTTACCCTTCCTTTCCTCTGCCTCCTTTCCCTCCTCCCTCCTCCCTGCTCCCCATCTCCCCTCCCTCCCCTCCTCTCCCCTCCCCTCCCCTCCCTCCCCTCCCCTCCCCTCCCCTCCTCCCCCCCTTTCCCCCCTCCCCTCCCCAGCCCTGCTGTCCTCTTTCCCTTCCTTTCCTCTGCCTCCTTTCCCTCCTCCCTCCTCCCTGCTCCCCATCTCCCCTCCCTCCCCTCCTCTCCCCTCCCCTCCTCTCCCCTCCCCTCCCCTCCCCTCCCCTCCCCTCCTCCCCCCCTTCTCCCCCTCCCCTCCCCAGCCCTGCTGTCCTCTTTCCCTTCCTTTCCTCTGCCTCCTTTCCCTCCTCCCTCCTCCCTCCTCCCTGCTCCCCATCTCCCCTCCTCTCCCCTCCCCTCCCCTCCCCTCCTCCCCCCTTTTCCACCTCCCCTCCCCAGCCCTGCTGTCCTCTTTCCCTTCCTTTCCTCTGCCTCCTTTCCCTCCTCCCTCCTCCCTGCTCCCCATCTCCCCTCCCTCCCCTCCTCTCCCCTCCCCTCCCCTCCCCTCCCCTCCCCTCCTCCCCCCCTTCTCCCCCTCCCCTCCCCAGCCCTGCTGTCCTCTTACCCTTCCTTTTCTCTGCCTCCTTTCCCTCCTCCCTGCTCCCCATCTCCCCTCCTCTCCTCTCCTCTCCCCTCCCCTCCTCCCCCCTTTTCCCCCTCCCCTCCCCAGCCCTGCTGTCCTCTTCCCCTTCCTTTTCTCTGCCTCCTTTCCCTCCTCCCTCCTCCCTCCTCCCTGCTCCCCATCTCCCCTCCTCTCCCCTCCCCTCCCCTCCCCTCCTCCCCCCTTCTCCCCCTCCCCTCCCCAGCCCTGCTGTCCTCTTTCCCTTCCTTTTCTCTGCCTCCTTTCCCTCCTCCCTCCTCCCTGCTCCCTGCTCCCCATCTCCCCTGGTGCTCCCCCGCCCTTGCTCGGCGCAGACTACATCTCCCGGCGCGCCCCGCGCCCGCCCTCGCCGCCTCCCGGCCGGTCCCCGCCCGTCCCCGCGGCTCTGCCCGAGCGCCCTGCGCTGCCGCCAGCCGGTCCCGACCCCCGACCCCCGAGAGCCGCGCCCCGTCCTTCGTGCCGCGTCCAGCCGCGCCGGGCGCCCTCGGACCCGCGCCCTCGGCCGCAGGATGGTCGTGCGCGTGTTCGTCGCGTCCTCCTCGGGCTCCGTGGCGGTGAGTCGGGCGGGACGCGGGCCGGGCAGGGGGCAGGGGGACCGGCCCTGCGCCAAGGGGCAGCCCGGGAGGCGGGGGCAGGGGCTGGCGGGAGCTCGGGGTCCAGGTTGTGCAGTGCGTTCATTGCTCCGGGGGCCGGGAGCACTTGTCCCGGAGTCCTCCGCTCGCGCAGCGCCTCCTTGGAACCCGAGCCCGCGGCTCTGGCCACGGCCGCACGCGCTCTTGCCCGCCACCCAAAGCCAAAGCCGGCTTGAGCCTCGCACCTGCGTGGACCCTGGGAAAGTGGGTGTTCGCCCGCTCTTGCCATCGTCGCTTTTGTTTTTTCCAGCTTCGGGGCTTTGCGTATTTTTTCTGCGTGTTTGCTGTGAATCTATTTAGTTCCTTTTCCTCTTGAGTGCGGTGGCCAATTTCACTTTGGGATATATAGATATATGGAATATATATATATATAGAATATATATATGGAATATATATGTCTCTATATATGCATACATGCAAATCTATATTACACACAGATTGAGGTCTCTGAGCTGAAGTTCTTGACTTTTTTTTTAAGAAGTAATTTATTTTTTCTCCCAAAGAAAAGTGAAATAGCTAAGAATTTTTCAAGGAAAAATTAAGTAGGAGGCTGGAGCTGTAGCACAGCGGGTAGGGCGTTTGCCTTGCACCCGGTGGACCCGGCTTCAATTCCCAGCATCCCATATGGTCCCCTGAGCACCGCCAGGAGTAATTCCTGAGTGCATGAGCCAGGAGAAACCCCTGTGCATCGCCAGGTGTGACCCAAAAAGAAAAAAAAAAGAAAAGAAAAAATTAAGTAGTGTTCTTGCCAGACCACCGAGAGTGTTTTTTATATGGTGGTTAAAACTTGATTTCCTTAGCTCAGAGCTGAACTAGTGAAGTCTATAATCAGCTGACCAGAAAGTGCCCTATTGATTCCTTTAAGTTTTATTCTGCTGGTTCCCTGCCCATCAGCTCAACAAAACTAAGTTGGGATGGAATAAAGTATAGCTTGCAAATCCTTATAAACCATTGAGACTTTTTATTTAAAAAGACCTCGCAGAAATGATCCCCTTTTGCATTCGGATGGATGGACCTAGGAGGGTAACTAGCTTATCTGTGTCTGCAGGCTTGCCCTGGTCCTCGGACTGCTGATAGTTTTGGTTTTTCTAGTTATTTGTGGTTGCTTAGTCATACTGCCTTTTATAGATTTCTCCACCGAAGCTATACTTTGTGTTTGTAAACCAATGCTGTTTTATGGTTGGGTTTTCTTCAAACGCACTCCTTTATAACAAGGCTACCAACAAAGCTTTTAGTTTCCCCGTCAGCTTGCATGCCTCAGTAATTGTTCCCACAGCATTTTATTGATTGCAGAAGGGATGCTTCATAATATTAGAAGCCTGGGCTAGGCTGGATAGGTCAAGAACCAGACAAGATAATGACATGGCTTGTCTGGTCAATAGGTAGTATATCAACAAAGCCAGGACTAAGCTCTGAGCACTGCAGAGTGTTACGCCCCACCCTCCTTCCCCCAAAGTCCCAGGCTCCGTATCTCTATTTCCTTCATTCCGTTGACAAATATTTATTGCCTACCTGCTTCCTCAATGCTTTTTTTTTTTTAATTTTCAGATTCAGTGTTCTTTTCATGAAGCTAGATTGGCAGGGTTAAGTTTTCGCGTGGGTTCTGACTAGTGACATGAGCTGCTGTAAAGTCCGCCTCAATTTCCCTTGGGTAGAGAGAGTGAAGGCTTACGTTGAAAACCTCAGAATTGAACGCTTCCTTTAAGGTCTTTGATTTCATCAGGGTGGAAGGAAGAAGATGAAATAAGTAAGTAATGGAAGGAACACAGTTTGGGGCTTAGCTTGTACTGAATTGGACAGCGGTATAGTTAGACATGCAAAGTACAGACTCAACAACACTGAAAACATGGGCTCAAAGCTGCAACCACTTAACATGGAGTCTAAGCTATAACCTCTGAACCTGTAAAATGCTTGTCAAGGTGATAGGTGGGGATGGGGTGGGTACCCCTCCCCTATGGAGTATGGGGACAGTGGTGGAGGGAAGATGACACTGGTGTTGGGATTGGTGTTGAAATATTATATGCCTAAAACTCAGCTGTCAGTGACCTTGAAATCACTGTTCTTTAATTAAAAAAATTTTTTTAAAGTCTTTGATTTCATCAGTTGAGAAAATGTGGCTAAACCCATATAAGCGTTTGCTTATGCTTTAACAATATACATCTTAGCCTCAAAGTGAATTTATTCTTTTCCTTTGATCTGGGGTGCCTTTGCTCCAGATCCCCAGTCTGAAACCTGTGTTCTCACGCGGTTTGTCTGAACTGAAAAATAGATTCAGTTGAGTGATACATGCAGCTCATAAATAGTATCTTAGGGTCGGGAAGGAGTGCATGAAACAGGCTGGGAAAGAGAAAGCCCTTGTTTGAATGCTTTGCTTGTACGAGGCACATGGTCTGGTCCTCGGAGGGCTGCTGACAGGTTTCCCCCAATCAAAGCCAGGAGTATGATAGGTATTGCCTGAGCATGGATAGGTGTGGCCCCCAAACAAAACAAAACAAAACAAAACAACCACTACTCTAATTGTATCTGCTTGAAGAGCTGATGTAATCTAGCCTCAGATAATTCTCAACCACTGAATCAATTGTGATATCAGTATGCAGTTTTTTTTTCCTTGAATAAGGTGGTATCAATACTTTGGCTAAACTAAGTTTACGCTTATAGGTTAGGATCGTAAGATGGTTTAGGTGAACTGTGGGCATGAGAAGGCAAATGGAGCCTATAACATTATGCTGTGTTGAGCTTTTGTGGCTGAGCCATTGTGTCTTCCTTCAGTCACTGTGAGCATTGTTTTATTTGGTGAGCAGCTGTGACCAGGAAGATCGCAGAAGGAGCGTTTCTTTTCCCAACTCAGTTTGATTTTAGCCAAACTGTTTGAACTCCAAGGAAGGAATGTGACTAAAATTAGTCTTAGCTAAGGTAAGGTCCAGGGATTTCCAGAAAGATGTTCTGCTTGAATCAGTAGTAGACTTAAGTAAAGAAACCCTGTGTTGTGTTCCATTCTTCCCAAACACATGAATATGAGCAGTAATTGGAACAGCTAACACCCGAAGGGTCAGTGTCTTTTTTCCCTCCAGAACCCCAGGTCACGATCACGATCATCCTGTTGTTTGTCCAGTAACGTCTCCTTCGTCCTAACTCTGAGATTCTAAAAAGTGCCACATTCAAGGCTCTTTCAGGGTTAGGAGAATGAGACCCATCATTGTTACTGGTATTTGGCATATTGGGTACGCCAGGGCCAGTTTGCCAGACTCTGCCATGTGGGCAGAGCCCCAGGCAAAATGTTTTTTTTGAGAGAGGGAGGGAGAGGGAGAGGGAGGGGGGAGAGAGAGAGAGGGAGGGAGAGGGAGAGGGAGAGAGAGAGAGAGAGAGAGAGAGAGAGATTATGAATGTACAGGGTTAAGGTGCTTGTTTGATTGTAGCCCCTGTGAAGGGCATTTTATTTCAGTTCTAGTATATATTAGAGTCACAGAAGTGTCATTTTAAAATTTGTTTTTTGGTTCTATATCCAGAAGAGGTCTTGGTGAACTTTTTGTTCAAAAAATACGTTACTATATCTTTTCACATTTAAAAGATTTTGAAATTGGTCAGTTATTTTATTTATTTACTATTTGGTAGTGGTTTGTTTAGGGAAGACCACTCCTCGCTCTGTGTTCAGGGGTCACTCCTGGCAGACTTGGGGACTGTAGAGGTGCCAGGGATTGAGCTCGGGTTAGACGTGTGCACAAGGCAAGAACCTTACCTGCTGTACAATTCCTTAAACACCATCAACGTGTATTCTCTAAGGGTGTGCAGTGCCTCATCTCTGCTGCCTTAGAACTGGATGAGAATGGAGGGTGTGAGATCTCTCCTTCTGAAGCTCAGTATCAAGTGTGGAGAAGAGATAAGAAGGTCGAACCAGCCCTAATCTGCTACAGCCCAAGGACACATGCCTCTCTCGGGGACATTCTTAGCGGAGACAGAAATAATATAGGTAGCAGAGGGATGCATTGCAGGATGTCAAATAAGGAGGAAATACGCCAGAAATCATGAAATATGCATGTGGGAGCCGGTGGCAGATGGTGGGGCGAGGGACTGAGTTGGATTTGGAGCATAGGGGAAGGCTTATGAACCCACCTTGTTCCTATGGGGATGGGAATAGCTTTGGGTCGGAGGAGGGTGGACAACATTGGTCCCCAGAGACCAGATAGATTCTTTTTTTTTTTTTTTGCCACACCCTTTGATTGCCAGGGCCTGCTCCTGGTTTTGTGTTCAGGAATCACTCCAGGCAGACTTGGGGTACCATATGGGATGGTGGGGATCAAATCCAGGTTGTCAGGGTAAAAGGCAACCAACAAACTCACTGCACTACTGCTCTGGCCTCCAGATAGGTTTTTAAGTCTCATAATAACGCCCATAATAATAAACTTGACAATGCACACTTTCTCGGTGAATCTCCAATATTTGCAGCTTATGTGTTTTTTGTCCCCGGGGTGTTATCTGACTGGGAGGCAACCCATTAATTGACGTTAGGAAAAATGTTTATCTCTTGCTCGCCTTGACTAAAAGGTCTCAAAACAGATACATAAAGTCTTTTATTCTTCATGAGCTCCTCAGCTTAGTTGTTAGGGCTGAGAGAGAATTTTCTAGTGAAACCTAATCACCTCCGGATTTCCCAGAAAGGGAAATTTGGACCTCGGTATTCAAGTGACTAGCATGGAGGTAATTTATGTCAGACACAGGCTAAGGGTTAAAGGAAGTGGAGGGGTCTCCTGATTTCAGAATTCAGCCACTCAGCCTGTGTCATGGATTGATTGGTTTCTGCCTTCAGAACCGTGTGTTAGAACAGTACCAGGTTCTGCTAGGTGCTGGCCATGTGTGATTGATGGTCAAGCACATAAAGTTTGTCTTGCTGACTCTTACAGCCTAAAGACGTGGGCACCTGCCAT